GTTAGGTCCTTAACTGGAATAAAAAAATGTCAGTACTACTTGTTTCTTAAAATGAATGGTTCATAGTATTTTGATTTTAGTATTTTTAATGATTTTTCTTATTTACCCTTTATTATATTATTTTCTTTCCTTAAATAACATTAAATTCCGTTGCTATAAACTTTATTAACGGAATATTCCGTTAACTATTTATTATTCTTAACTTACTCATTAATTTTTATAAGAAAGGTTTTAGGTTCGAACCTCATTCCAATTAGAGTTAGCATAATTGTTAAGCATATACTACGAATATGTTAAAATGTATTTAAAAATAAAATATAAAATTTAGCATAAACTTTGGTCAAATAATTAGCTCGACTAAATACATACCATTCAATGATTATAAATCAAGAACTTTGATAATCATTTGATTTTCTTTCATTAAAAAAATAATAAATAATAAATTTAAGTTCAGTTTTTTTTTTCCGTTTAATTAATCTTCTTTTGATTATTGAGAACAAAACTTAATATTTCAATTATGCTTTTATCAATGCATGAAAACTTCTAAAGAAATTTGTAAATAAATTTAGTATATTATTATAATAATATCTATTGTAACCTTATATTCTGAATTATTTATTATCATCATCTATTGACAGCAATTGTCATTGACAAACTCTTGAAACAATTTGTCTCAACAACGAATGGAAATATTTCATTATTGTGGATGAAAAGTATGTACGCCACTTTATTCAATCGTTATGCTGTGGAACTATGTCCACCTTGCAATGTGGACACAGTTTTATGTTCATAATTACTGAACTACATGTTCATAATTATAAAGCTATATATTCAGAATTTTTGAACTTCATATTCATAATTATTGAACTCTATATTCACAATTACAGAACTCTATGTTCATAATTACTGAACTATATGTTCATAATTATAAAGCTATATATTCATAATTTTTTTAACTTCATATTCACAATTATTGAATCTCTATATTCATAATTATAGAACTATATGTTCATAATTATGTTCATAATTATAGAACTATATGTTCATAACTTTTGAACTATATATTCATAATTATGAATAGTTTTGGAACCGTGTCCACCTTTGTCCACCTTGCAAGGTGGACACGGTTCCACATCATAATTTTCCCACTTTATTGCTCTTATTACTTAAATTAAAAAATAAATTAGTAGCTACAACAAAAAATAATATATATGCATTTAATTAATTTAGAATTAGATGTCTCACAACACATGAAACATGTAGGTGAAAACTATCACTACCAAATATCAAAATCTGCTTGTAAGATAATAAATAGTTCATAGCACAACTAAGATCTCAGTCATATACACAACAAGACAAATCTAAAACTCCATACACTATAATCTCATTGCATGATGAATCTCTCTATAATACTACCAATAAACCAATTGCACATGACACACTACCAAAAAAAAAAAAAAAAAAAAAAAAAAAACACTGAAGATGAAAACAATAACAATGCTACCTAAAGGAGAATTAGAAAAATTTAAGTCAAAAATAGTATTTATTTAGACTATCGCTTTTAGACTTAATACTTAGATTAACGTTATTACAAAGTTGCAAACATTTATTTTTGTGATAGTTATATATAATCAATCTCTCATATATTATCATGCATTTATATACTTTAAATTACCGATTTAAATAAACAAATTCAACATTTATTTACATATGCATGAACATCTTTTATATAATATTGCATTAATATACTTTGAAATACTTATTTAAAAATAAGTATTGGGCATTATCCTATTCGCGCAAAGTGCGTAGAAAAACTAGTAATTTAATAAGAGTAAAATAGAGTACTAATTATGTCAACTTTGATTGGGATGGGGTTCGAATCTAAGACCTTTCTTGTTGAAATCAATGAGCAAGTTAACATTAGACTAACAGAAATTAACGGAAAAGATAATATTTAATGGAAAAGTTAACGGATAATCATATTCATTAAGGATAAATTAGGAAATCTTAAGGAAAAATTAAAATCTGATCAATCTGAGCCATTCATTTGATTAAAAAATTTGACCGCCATTTTTTCTACCCATTATAGGCCTAACTCCCTTGGACTCTTATTAGTGTGTGTGTGTATATATATATATATATATATATATATATATATATATATATATATATATATATATATATATATATATATATATATATATATAGTAGATAGAAGATTACGTTGCAAGGAAGAATATGTATTGCATTAGTATGATTAGTAATTTTAATCTAGAATTGTATTACGAATAGGAAAGTAGGAAAGAATATATTGTATTAGGAATTATATTACCATATTTTAATGTATAATTATAGTACGAATAGGAATTGTATTACCATATTTTACAATATTACATAAACCTTAATAGTATAAGAGTGTTTTGGTCGAAAAAGTTGAAGTGGAGGATTTTTACTTTTATTAATAGTATATAGAAGTATAGATATATATTGGTGTAAAATCAGTATTCGAATTAATATTATTGGTGTAAATAAAAATTAATAAATGATTATTTCCTTATAAATTTACGTTATTACGCAGAATTTCCAAAAAGTATTACCAATTAATAAATATTAGTTAATTTTCGTATAATATTTTGTAATAACATAACTTTATTAATTATTTCTAATAAATAAATTAATTAATATTAAGAAAAGTTTAAGTGGGAAAGTTGAACGGGACGATTTTATTTTTATTAATAGTATAGATTGGTGTATTCGAATTATTATTATTGATGTAAATAAAAATTAATAAATTATTATTTTCTTATAAATTTATATTATTAAGCAGAATTTTTAAAAATATTACCAATTAATAGATATTAGTTAATTTCTATGTAACATTTTGTTACCAAGTAAACTTTATTAATTATTTTACGAATAAATTAATTAATTGTGTTCTTGTTTTGTTTTGTTTTGCGTGCCAAAGTTGCTGTTGTCCACATAATTTGCACTTAAGTAGTACTCCGTAATTTGCAGGTGATTTAGGAGTGTTTGAGTACAACATGGAGTTGGGAGATTGAGTTTGATTTTAACTGGATTTATCAGTATTGTATGGAATTAGGCTTTATAATATTATAATAGAAACTTTTATGTAGAATTGTAGTACGAATAGGAAAATATGAAACAATATATTTAGGAATTGTATTACACTATTTTACAATATTAGAATAAAAATTTTAACGTAGAATTAATGTACGAATAGGAAAGTAGAAAATAATATATAAAAATTTGAGGGTTTTGGGCGGGAAGTTAAAGTTTAAGATTTTGTTTTTATATATAGTATAGATAGTATAGATAGATAGATAGATTTTATTAATTTTTTCTCTTATTGAGTGTTTACCCAATTGTGTAATGCGTGATATTATACTAGTATTAAACTATTAATTAATATATGATTGATTACATAAAAAAAAAAAATATTTCATAATCTGATCAATTTAATAAATGTAAATCTAATATTGTTATTATTGTATTTGGGGAAAAAGGTACAAATAGGCATTGAACTATTTGGGGGTTAGCAATTAAGCCATCGAACTCGAATAAGTTTCAATTTGATCCATGAACCTGCAAAAAAGTGCAATTAGCATTTTTAACAGGTTAACAACATGTTACTGCTGACTAGGATGACACGTGCAATTTTTATTTTTTATTTTATTATTTTTATTATCCTAATCAGCATTTGACACTAAAAAAAAAAAAAAAGAAACATTTGATCCTCAACTATAGCTTCTCTATTTTGCGATTTATCTCTCTTTCGCGGTTGTTTGCGACATTTTTTATTTTATCTCTTTCGCGATTGTTTGGGGCATTTTTGAATAGAAAAAATAGATTGAAATTTCAATATTTAAGAAATTACACGCATAATAGAATACAAAGTTTGTCTATTCACTAACTAGTAAAAATATAATGTTACTATAGATTTGCATTGCTAAGCAGAAATTAATATATTGTTAATATAGCTTGGATTGCCACACAAAAATACATTGTTAATTGCAACACTACAACATTTGATAAGCATAAATATATTGTTAATCTAGTACTACCAAAACATTAACCCAAAACAACTCTTCTACTAAAACATTAACCCAAAACACCTCCAACAGAATGAAACATCTCATTATGCGACCCTTCCTACTTAGTTGAGTCTTCTTACTAGCAGTTGATAAACCTTCATTTTCCTCACGATTTCTTTTCTTCTTTGGCCTACTTGTCATTTTTTTGGGGATTGAAGCCAAAATTTCCTCCCAATTTGTTTTAGGTCAGAAGAGTTCTCCATTCATCGATATAAGAGCATGTGTATAAGTCCTTTGATATGCTTCTTTTGAGTAGCATGGATCAAGATAATCCTCCATATTCATGCCAAAGATGGCACATATAGCATTAATAATAATAATAATAATTATTATTATTTTAATTAATTTATAATAAATAATATTTTTAATAAAAAATTAAAATAATGAATTTAAGCTGATAAACAAGTTTTTTTTTGGATGCTACTAGATCTATTACATTGTAGTATCTGTTCATCATATACTCCCTCAACCTACTGAAACACAAAGAGCTTTGTAGTATCTGTTCATCATATACTCCCTCAACCTACTGAAACACAAAGAGCTTTGTAGTATCTGTTCATCATATACTCCCTCAACCTACTGAAACACAAAGAGCTAATAACGCCTCCATTGAGGCTCAAACTCACAACCTTCCAAATGGAAGTCCAACCCGGGTACCATTGGACCATATAGTCCTGGTAAGCTGATAAACAAGTTAACTTGGACTTAATTGTATAATTGAATAATTTTACAAGTTTAGGAGACTTGAATGAAGCTTTTTTCACTTAGGAAATCCAATTGCACTATAGGAGGTCAATTTGACACTTTTTCTATATATTAATGACTTGTAAGTATAAATTTTCAATACAAAAAAAAAAAAAAAAAGGTTATATGTACAAAGTATATAATGTGATCAAATCAAATGATCGTCGGTTTTATGATCGGCTAACTGTATCAAGCATTGACTTGAAATTAGTTTGAAATGTCCAGTTTCGAAGGGTGTTGATGGCCTCGGAGATCGAGGTCGTTGAGGAGATGGAAGTCAGAGATCGGGAAGCCGCGGCTGCGAATGACGGAGAGGCCTCGGGAGTCGCGGTGGTGGAGGAGGAGAGTTTGAAGAACGAACCGAACAATGTCTATACGTCGGCGGCGTATGGAGACATGGAGAAGCTGCAGAGATTGGTAGAGAGCGAGGGTTGCTCAATCTCTGAGCCCGATGGCCTTGGCTACTATGCTCTCCAGTGGGCTGCTCTCAACAACCGCACTGCGGCAGCTCAATACATCATTCAGGTGTTTTAATCACTTAATTCTGTAGTTTGCAACAATTCCATCATATTACCATCTTCTTCAATTCCTTCCCTCAACCTGATTGTTTTTCCTAGCTTCTTCTGGAAGCGTTTGACCTGTAAATTTCTTTTGTTGAATTTATTGAACTAAAGAAAATTGCCAGAATCTGAATTATATATGTGCATCTTTGTTAAATTTCTACTTTATTTGTAAAGTTTTTAATAAAATGCACCAGGAATTGCAGGCAGGAACTAGTTGAAATTGGACATTATTTGCTCATGCACCAATGTGGAGGCTGTGATATTCGTGTAGTTTAGAAATATATGTTCAGTGTATCCAATTCAACCTTGAGAGTTGAGATGAGGGTTATATGCTGCAAGGTTTCCTTTTCTTTTTTTTTTTTTTTGGTTTCTTTTTTTTTTTTTTTCAATCTTTTTCTTTTCTTGAATTTCTTTGCCACTGTGGTACTGTTTTTTAAAGTATCCAGTTAGGATTCAGCCTAAACATGCTGCCCTTTGGCTAATATTTTTATTTTTGTATGGTGATATCATTTTTACAATAATATGATGATATCATTGGCAGCATGGTGGAGATGTTAATGCTGCAGATCATACCGGACAAACGGCATTACACTGGACTGCAGTTCGAGGTGCAATCCCAGTTGCAGAGATTTTACTCCAAGCGGGTGCTCGCATAAATGCTATTGATATGTATGGTTATCAGGTTTGTATTTTGGACACTAATTATTTAGTTATCCATGGTGTCTTACTGTCTTTACCAACTCAATTATTCCAAAGCTTTCTTATTGCTTCAAAACATGTAAGTAGTTATTTAACTTGGGATTTGCAGTATTATAACTTGGTTATATGTTTTTGGCTTAACAATGCTCAATGACTTAGTGACAGCTGCGTTAATGGCATTCCATGATCATCTTCCATTCTAATTCACCTAATGCTTTCTTTGCCTAAGACTCTAAGTTCACTCATAGAAACATCAGTCTATGAATTTTGATCCACCTTCTAGAGCCTATTCAACTTAGCTTAAGTTCTAGGTTGCTTTATGATGTTGGGAACATTGAACTCAGTAGAGGTTACCATAAATGAGACACCAAAATTGATGATAAACTATAATAAAATTAGACACATGGATATCATGGTTAGCCAATGTAAAGTTTATGAATAAAATTAACTGAAGTACCAAAAAAAGGTTACTTTCAACTGTTTGGAACCACCAAAACACATGATCTTTGCTGATGAAGACAGAGGAAGACAAAGTAAAGTTGAACCGCAAAAGTAGTACCATTGAGGTACGCCTTTGATATTGACGTAGATGTTAGGGCTACTTTGGTTATGAAATATTGGTTGAAGGAAAGGGATAAAACTTAGATGAGACTCTTTTCTGTTTTCTAATTTTTTCTGCATACTTTGTGAATTTCATGATGCTCCTTTATCCAGGACCAAAGAAACTCACTTGTTTATATCTTTCTCACCCTTAGCCTACAATTTATTTCCTCCATTGCTGTTGTTTTTGTTTTTGTTTTTTTTTTTTGGTCCTTGTTCTTTCTTTTGGATTAACTTGTGAATACTTTTTGGTGCTTTTATTGAATCTATTCTCTTGCTTCTCTTTATCATTATGAGTAATTACAATGCAAGTAGTAAAAGGACCATGTGATGGTTTACAGGCAACCCATGTTGCTGCACAATATGGCCATACAGATTTTCTGTATTGTATTGTCACAAAGTGGAATGCTGATCCCGATGTTCCAGACAAGGATGGGAGAAGCCCTTTACACTGGTATTTTATTTCAAGTCTAGTTATTCATTTGCTATTGTTAGCCGGAGTTCTTTTGACTTTTTGTTTCATATCTTGTACATATGATGGAATCTAAATATGCGCATCTTTTTCCCCTAAATATATCTGTCTTGCTCCCAAGCTAAATTGTTAAGTGGGAATAGCTAGGACATCACTAATTTGGTTTAGAAAAAGTCAGATATTCCTTTTCTATTTTTTGGGGTCATTATTTCCAACTATTATGTCTTCAGTTATTCATAATTCTCTGTGTAGATACATCATAAAATGTTAAAGCTTATTGTATGCAGCTAATGCCTGTGATGTTAAACAATGGTCATTAAACTTAAACAATGGTTTTAAAAGGAGGGAACAAAAGAAGAAAAACCTAATGGTCTTATCTCTTCATTCATGATTGGTATAGCTGTATCTTTTTTTCTTTTTTTTTTTTTTTTTTTTTTTTTTTTTTTTTTTTTTTTTTAAATTTTATTTATATTCATATTTATTTTACTTTTTATACTTTGTCTAGTCTACCTTTTTCTTTTCCTTACGGTGGTGGAATGCTCTAGGGCTGCATACAAGGCTTTTGCTGATTGTATACGACTTTTGTTGTTTCTGGATGCATATCCGGGACGACAGGATAAAGAGGGTAACTTCAAATGCTTGGTTATGAGTTTAGTGGTTCTTATATGTTTCTCAAAGAAGCCTACTTAACACCTTTCCACTTTAGGGTGCACTCCTCTTCACTGGGCTGCTATCAGAGGTAACCTTGAGGCATGCACAGTATTAGTGCAGGCTGGGAAGAAGGAAGGCCTGATGGTGAAAGACCATACTGGCCTTACGCCTGCACAGCTTGCTTCTGATAAAAATCACCGACACGTTGCTCTTTTCCTTGTAGGTCTTCTTTAATCTTAGTATTCCTGAATTGCCATGAAATGTCTCACTTCTCAACATTACTTCTACCAGAATTTGTTATCTGTCTCCATGTCGCTTGATTTCTTTGTGCTTTATTTATAGCTGTCCTTATTCAGATTGTAAAACATTTTTAGTTTGCTTTCACTTCCTAGTCTTTTCTCCTTGAGCTTCACTCTTCTATGTTTTAATTCTAGTTACCAAAATTTTTATTAGTCCAAGGTTCCTATGCTGAAGTTACACATTTGTGTGCATAAGTGCATTTACTTTACTATAATTTTCTAGTGCATATAGATCAGTTTGATTGTAATTTGTTACAGACATTTGCTATTCATAACTTTGCTATTACAACAAATTCTTTTTTATTCGAGCTCCATTACAAAATGATTGATGCAGTCATGCAACTGAGTTCTTTTGATGACTTAGTTCAAACATCATCTTGTGATTTGCTGGGATATATGATTGTAACATGATAAAGATGGGAGTAATGGTGGTTCTTCATGACACAGTTCTTAAATAAATATCCTATTCTTCACAAATGTAATTCTGCAGGGAAATGCTAGACAGCTGTATGACAAAAATTGTGATGGGAAAAGCCTACTTGGGAAATTTTCAAAATTAGGCCTTGCTCCAACACTTTGGTGTATAATCATTCTGCTACTTGTAACTTATATTCATGCCGTCATCTTGGGTAACTTTTCCTTTGGTTTCGTTTTGTGTGTGTGTGTGTGTTTTTGTAATTAACTTTTGACCCGTAAATTAAATGCATCCTGTATTACTTTGTTTTTTTTTTTTTTTTTTCAGCTCCAAACCTTCCAAAATTAACTGCTGCCAGTGCTTCCTGTGCATGGTTGGGTGTTTTTATTGCAACTTCTGCACTAGTTCTGTTTTATAGGTGCAGCAGGTATAGCCGATGACCTTTAGAAACTAGACTTCAGATGACCATGTGTTTAGTAGATTTTATGCTTTGGCAATGTGTTAAGGACCCAATCTAGACCAATGACATTCATATCCTTTTACACTTACAGATAGGTCCAATGCTTGTAAATCAATTTTTTTTTTTTTTCATATGCCAAATGAATAAAGCCATTAAGTGTATCTGGTTTCAACTTAGCAAAGGAGAAAGGAGCTTCTTTTTCATAGAAGGGTGACCAATCAATATCACTGTTGCATATCCTATTCATAGAAGGGCTAGTAAACAGTATTCCTGTTGCATATCATGGACTAAGAAGTGCTTAAAGTTTGGTATACTATATATGTGAACATTTGCTTTTCTAGAAAGTTTCATTACAGATGACTAGGTGACCAAAAAAGTATGTAAACTATAAGTGTTGGGTGATGATATACTTGGGAACATTGAACCTTAAGTTCTTTCTGTTTTGTTTTGTTTTTTTTTTTTTTTTTTGTTTTTTTGTTTTTTTTTTGTTTTTTTTTTTAAATTTTATTTTTTTAAAATTTTTTTGTGACCTCTTTTTCCATGATTTTCTCTATTTATTTTCAGTCTGCATTGAATGCATATACCACTTATTTGACACCTTTTTCTTTCTTGAGTTTTAATATCAGCAATAACTGATTGTGATAACTTTATATTTGTTTTTAATCTTGCTATTGTTTTTTTAACAAGTTGTGTGACCTAGTACCTACATAATATGTGTCATTCCTGTTCATTTATAATGGCAACCCAAAATTTTTTGAACATGTTGGCTTCATAATTGCTTTTTGATGATGTCCATGTGTGTGCACTTGCAGAAAAGATCCAGGGTACATTAGTATGAGCTTACGTGATTTGCAAAATATAAAAGATGATGTAAGTTGCTTCATCTCCCTTTTCCATCATTGTACCTCTCTCTGACCTACACAAACACACACAAAAGGAAAGATAGATGGTCTATGTGTTTGTGTGTATAAAATTGCAGAATTATAAAGGTGCATTATCTCCAGATATTGAATATATCCTTGCTAGCACAAGTTTATATATTACCAAGGTGGAAGAGTGAAAACAAAATTTGAGGTTCCAGCTTGCATGTTTTTCTCTCATTTTCTCTTGGCATAAATGCATAATGCTATCATTAATTGCTTCACATGATAATACTGTTTGTCTGAAATTTATGTAATAACCCTAACCTCATGAGTGATATTCATGTAAACTTATCTCTATATTGTTATATTATATTAGGAACCATTGTTGAAGAATGATGTATATCACCCTGCTCTGCTTGCTGGGAATTGGTCTCAGCTATGCTCCACATGCAAGGTGCCGTGTACTTTGATTTTTCCATCTTTATTTCTTCCCCTTTATGGTACCTTTTTATGCCTTCTAATGTTTTGTTTTCTATTCCATCAGATTGTCCGCCCTCTTCGTGCAAAACATTGTTCTACTTGTGATCGTTGTGTAGAGCAGTTTGATCATCACTGCCCTTGGGTATCTAATTGCATCGGCAAGGTGCTTACCATTGAGTGTATCTCTTCTTTTTTTTTTTTTTTTTTTTCCTGCTATTGTTTCCTTATTTTCTTTAGCTTCATCCTTGTTTCCAGCTATAGTACTTTGTAGTGTGTATATCTTCTATTATTTTCAGCTTGACCAAGTCTAATAAACTTCTCTTTCAGAGAAACAAATGGGAATTTTTCTTGTTTCTTGTTCTTGAAATATTGGCTATGCTAATAACTGGTGGAGTCACTTTTACAAGTAAGAGTTCTTGTTTATTTTCATTTTTGATGCATGTGCAATATAAGTTTTCAACTGTTCTTTTGCTTAAGGAAATTCTCTGTATTTCTCCATGAACTAATAAAATACCTCTCAACATTGCAGGAGTCTTGACTGATCCAATGGCCCCATCTTCTTTCGTTGCATGGTTAAACTACACTGGTACTCAACATATTGGTGCTATAACGTTTATAATTGCCGATGTTTTCCTCTTCTCTGCTGTTTCAGCCTTAACTGTGGTACAAGCTTCTCAGGTTTGTTTCTGTGCTTATTTACTTAAAATAATACAGCTTAAATTCTTAAAACCATGTACCCCACCTTTGGGCATGTTGGAATTTCAAACTATACTTTCTTTGTTTTCCCTTGCAATTTATATTGTCTGTCTTCATACTGTGATAGACACTGAAAGGTAAAGTTGTTGAAAGAGGCGGTTTGTCTTTTTATTGAATTACCACGGGATTCCTCAACCCTCCTATGATTTTTGCACTGAAATGAACCTATGAATAACTCATCTTTTTACCCTTTCCATGCTACAGATTTCCCGCAATATCACAACGAATGAAGTGGCTAATGCACCACGCTATAGTTACCTCAAAGATCAAAACGATCAATTCAGAAATCCTTATGATCATGGACGCAAGAAAAACTGTTCAGATTTCTTGATAAATGGTTACAGTCAAGATGTGGAGTACACAGCAGCATCAACTCAGCCTGTGGGAATCGGGATGATGCATATAACTACGAGTTCAACCCCACAAAATGGTGTTGGCCATTCCCATCAGACCAAGGAAAGTAGCCATGTAACTATAGACGTGAATAAGAGCCCAGGTAGCTATCACAATCATGCTCAGTTTTCCAGTTGTAGCCATCATAGTACCAAAAACAAAACAGATTCATTTGCTGTATCTTCTGAATTAGGTATTGGCCAATTGCGAAATGCTGCCAAAACTGCGGTTTCATGCTTCATAGTATAATACTGCGCCTTGTTTGTTGGGAATGCCGTCCTTCATACACACTGTTATATGTAAGTATACCTTTAGCTTTAGCAATTCTATTCATGATTACTGCAATTTATTTTCCTTCACTGAGCCCTAGTTTGCTTGTTACAGTATGTTGTAGGGATACAAGCTTGCAAATGATAAGAATGAATTTGAAGCTGTTTGAATTGGTGAGTATATCTCAAACTAGCTCTCATATTACTCTACCAAAAGAGTTGTTAAAGGTACTCTGATCTATACAACTTTTTTCTTCATTATTTCTGAAATACTTAGAGCATCTACATTAGTTTAACCCCGGTGCAGTATTTGAGAGGTTTTTGTAAATGTGAAATTAGGAAAGAGAAAAAAATGTGGGTAAAAAAAAAAAAAGAGTAAAAATTAAAAAAAAAAATGACATTAAAAAAAAAAGAGTAAAAAATTTAAAAAAGTTAGAGTGGCCGTCAGTTGACTCGCCCAGCGGGCGCGTGTTCCCCACGTGCCCACTGTTTGAAATTATTTTGGGTCTGACATTATTTTGGGTCTTTGCAGGCCAATTCTTTTGCAATTAATTCATCCCCCCACATCAACAATTATCTTGAACAAAAGCTATTTGATCTGACATTCTCCCCGAAATAACTCTTGATAATGTTTCTCTTACAAATATGTGGGTTATAGAAAAGTTACAGGGTACCGAAAGGCTCTGGTGCCTTTGGTACCCAGTACCATTATATAGAAAAGTTACAGGGTACCAAGTACAATTACAAACTATTACTCAATAATGCACTTTTTCATTATGTTATTTTATACACTTAAATACCATAATTGTGATATTGGCTCTGTTTGGTAACGTAGTTAGCTTATCAGTTAATTTTGACTTATTTGACTACTATTAGCTGTTTGACTTGGTTAAATAATCAATATAAGTGTTTGATTAATCAGTTTTTTGAACAGCTTATTGTTCTAAAATGTTAAAATTCAAAAAGTTGCCTAAAGTAGCTTTTTCAATAAGCTTTTTGTGAAAGTAATTTTGCATGTAATAAGCTATCGGCTAACAATCAATTTATCAAACATTTTTTTTACAATCTGCTAATGTTATCAACTAGTTAAATTCACTAACACAATTAGCTAACAGTTATTTATCAAACACTCCCATTGTGTTGTATGATATGATGGCCCTGTTTGATAACATAGTTAGCTTATCAGTCAATTTTGACTTATTTGATCACTATTAGCTGTTTGACTTGGTTAAACAATCAATAGAGTGTTTGATTAATTAGCTTTTTGTAATAGCTGTTGCAAATAAAGGTTGGAAAAACCAATAATAATCCTACGAAAATGATTATTATTTTTCTAGGAAATTTATGGGAAGGATGAAAAGATATGGTGGGTAGGTGGTTAGCACGAGTCGAGCGAAACACTCTCTCTTTAAAACTTTATTTGCCGTCTCCCAAAAGGTACTAGGAGCGTTCCGGCCTAGGCTTTTCAGGATAAAACGTACTACGATTCCAAGTTTGAGCACTCAGACAATGAAATACGGCGAACTAGAGCTTAGGATGAACACATGAGGCTAAAAAAAGAGTAGAAGCACAATTTTTGAGAGAGGAAAATATATTTTCAGGATAAAACGTACTACGATTCCAAGTTTGAGCACTCAAACAATGAAATCTAGCGAACTAGAAGCACAATTTTTGAGAGGAAAATATATTTTTGTTGTGTTAAAAATCTGATTCTAAACAACAACTTATATAAGAGTTGAGAAATTCAATAGCATTCAATTCGTGTCCATAGGTGTCAGTGTACATAAGTCAGTCAAGCCTTTTCAAAGGCATTTTGGAATTTGATTTGCTCTCCCTCCCTGCGCAAGAGAGAGCCTCTATACTATACAATTCAATAAAGGCTCTTGTATAAATAGTGATGCAAACCCACTTTTCAAACCAATGTGGGACAAAGGTTACTTTAAAGCCTTTTCCCCTTCATTTTTATAACTCAAATGGATCTACTTTGAGAATCAATATCTCATTCACCCCGTTTTGAGCGTACAATATATTAATCTCTCCGTCTCACTACGAAGAACCCGAATCTACTTTGACTTGATCCAAATCGTGAGTGGACCTTATTAATAGTTGTACTACAAAATAGCTACTTAAAATAATATTTCTTGCTATTTTATGCTATTTTTTTTTTCCAACAATAGCTTATTGTTTCAAAAAGCTAAAGTTTAAAAAATTGCTCAAAGTAATTTTTTTATAAAGTCATTTTGTATGTAATTAACTATAAGCTAATAACTAATTTACCAAACACTTTTTTATAATCAACTAATGTTATCAACTAGTCAAACTCACTAACCCAATCAGCTAACAACTATCAATTAACAACTATTGACCAAACATCCCGATATAAAAATCTCTCTAGCATATAATAATATTCAAATTGCTTGATAAATTGAGCTATATGGCAATGATGACATGACGAGCATTGAGATTTGAGAATAATGATAGGAGTTGGTATTTGTAAAGAATATATGAAGTATAGAATGTGTGTAAGAGAAAATAATGTGGTAGATTTGCTACAAATATTAATAAGTTCAAGTACAAATTTTTTAAGGTTTCAAATCTTTTAGCTAGCAATTGAGGTCCGTATTTATAATTTATATATAATAACGGAACAATCAAAATCTCACTAATAAGGCAATAGGTTTGTCGTGACACTGCCAATGGTGGCACTAGTTGGATGTTTAGAGTAGTGATGGTAGAATTGGTTTGTCTTGCTAATGGCACTCAGTTTTAATGATCGGTTTCTTAACCATAAAGATCAAGAAATGTCTAGGTTTAGTTGGATCCTGATATTTTGTCAATTAATCTGTTGTATAATCCCATCAATTTATGTAACTTTCTTTCTTCATCTTTATTTATTTAATTTTTAAAAAAATTATTTATTTATTTTGCAATTTTGATCTTCTTGTTTTAGATTGGCTTGATTAGTCTTGCACCAAGAGAGTTTGAGTCATCACATTGAAGATTTTATTCCTCAGCCAACACACTTTCAAAGAGACCATTTAATAGAAAGTTAACAACTATTTTGGTATAGAATTTAGCTCTTCATGGATACAAATAATTGATGATAATTACTCAGATATTTTTATTCTACCTGATATAGTAAAACAGTTGTACTTCATAATCAAACTTAAAGAACAATCTCATTAAACTAGATGAAAACAGTAGGAACCATTTTGACAGTGTATTCTGTTACCTAAACTAACACAAAACAGTTCCTAGTACTGTTGTGAAATTGCAAGAAAAATCTCTACATCATAAACTGATAAACAACACCTTTCTGGTTGAATATGTGTATGCATCTTATCAGCTTCTCCTCTCATCTGTACAAGAACTGCAGCAAAAATAGCAGACTATTAAGTTTACTAACCGTGTAAATCACTACTGGAAATTATGAAATATCCGACCACCTGAAAGTGATCTTAAATCAAGTCGAAAGCATTATTCCGACCACTTTTGGTATCCGAAAAAACCTTTATTGCTATTTCCGACCACTTTTTTCTTTCAATTTGATTTAAGATCACTTTTAGGTGGTCGAAAATTCCATAATTTCCAGCAGTGAATCTGCAGAAATGGTGTTTGGGAAGAACATCAGAATACAAGTCGAACTATGAATTGAAGCATACCCGAAGAGAAAATAGGGAAGAAAGTCGAACTATGAACGAAAGGTATCATTGGGTTACCTAATCCTTTGTCTCGTTGAAAAGGACTTACTTCAGGTCTTGAGATCATCAGCCTGCTGTCTGTTTGAATGAACGAAGGGCAGAAAAGTGCAGTGTTTTTATCTGTACTGTACAATAATGTTTTTCAGTTCAAAGAACATGTTTCATGAGGTGATTGCAGGTTTAAAAGTGAAGAATCTTGGAAGGACAGCCTTTTGTGCAGTCCAGCCAGCACGAGATCATCCCCACGAACCCCTTCTCCGTTGGGTGCGCAATGTCTGTCTCTCGCCTCTGCAACACTCTCAAGAACTCATCCGAGCTTAGAATCCCATCGTGGTTCGTATCAAACAAGAAAAAGATCATGTCCACCACATTCTCAGTAAGAGATATGCCACAAACCTTGTATATATAGAAGCAAAGCTTACGTTAGATGTATATAACGTTTTAGTAATGCTAAACGCACTTCTACCACTACTGGAAATTATGGAATTTTCGACCACCTGAAAGTGATCTTAAATCAAGTCGAAAGCAAAAAATGGTAGGAAAGAGCAATAAAGGTTTCCCCGGATACCAAAAGTGATCGGAACAAGACTTTCGACTTGATTTAAGATCACTTTCAGGTGGTCGGAAATTTCATAATTTCCAGCAGTGCGAAGTAAGAAAAAGCGCGTTGTAGACATACGTGCTTAGCAGCTCGTTTGAAGTCATCTTTCGAGAGCATCCCATTCATCGATTTCCCAAAGCTGAAGATGGCAAGAGTAAATGGCTGCAGTTTCTTCCTCAGCTCAGCAAAACTCTTGAACTCGTCGAACGAAATGCGCACATCCCTAAGGCGTGGCTCATCGTTCAGCTCTTCAACCCGATCAAGAAACTTGGTGATGTGACCCATGTCAGCGGCTGCCACCATTGACAGCGCGAAATCTTTAGAAGAAATGGTTCCCCGCGACCTGTAATCATAATGTGCAAACTCCAACCGCAACATCTGTGGGAATACAGAGAGCAGAAACCAACACTTTGAGACTATAACAACAGCAGACACATACTATTGACAGAAAACTAAAGCATTACTTCGATGTGCAAATCTCTCAAGAACTGAACAAATTTATCGTGCTCAAGGCGACCATTGCCATCTTTGCCAAAGAAGTACTCGAGCAGACCCCCGTCCTCTACAGACCCAGAAACGTGCAACCCGATTCGCATTCCATCTCTGTGGCGAGCGCCCTGTCTGTTATAATTTCGCATCAGTGCCATCACTCTCTTGAATTCCTCCTTATCTATCCCTCTGTTCAGAAGACCAGTCACTAAAAGTTCCAAAACCATTAGAGGATAAGTAAATCCTATTTTCTTAGCTAGATTATATCTTCATATGAGCACTTACCCATCGTTGTCAATGTCAAACATCCGAAAAGCTATGGAGAAACTCGACTCGGGAATGCTGAGAAGCGTAACAAAGAAGATATACCTGCAGTTGCAGACAAACCAGAAAATGATTTAACGAGATTAAATAATCATTCTTTTTTGCAGGAGAAGGCGGGGGTGAAGTACTAACTCTGGAAACGATATAAGCCCGTCACTGTTGGTGTCGAAAAGCATAAAGAACACTGAAGGAGCGCAATGCAATTCACCAGACACCTTCTCGCCTTTCAGAGATCCACCTCTCACACTTGCTGCTTCAGATGGAGGAAAGACGGGAACCACAGCCCTCATCAGATCTCCTGGAGTCATATACACTTCCCCGCCAGGCGCTTTAAAAGATGCAAAGTACTCAAACACCTTGAACCAAAAACATTAAGGCACCACTAATATTGTTAATGTAGTTGTGTAGAAAGAACATACATACCTTAAAACATTGCAGAAAACCTTAAAATATGCCTAATTTAGCTCCATACCTTCTCTGGAGGACTTCGCATTCTTAACCGTTTCTCATACTTGAAGAACACCCTTTTCCTATATGTATCTGAAACCACAGAATCATCAGTTCTCATCCTGTCTTGCAAGAGATTCGGATTTATTAACAGATAATATTTAGCAATAGCATAAAGCTGGTGCTGAAACATAGATCAAAACTGCAATCAACATGTCATTACTGGTGATAACATTACTGCACATAAGCACCTAAGAACGGTCTCTTGACTATTGACATTTACTAATTTTTGTCTTGACCGTTGCCATTTGACCATTAACGATCCTTGACTATTGATTGTGTTTCTGGGTAACCTTAAATTTAAGGGTAAGAATGAAAAAATTGACTTGTTTCTAAGATGGGCAAATTGGGTTCAAAAACTTGATACACTAGGTTCATCATTAGTGGGAATGTGAAGAATGATGCATAAGCCAATTTGGACCTAGCTATAAAGTCTCTATCCCAAATTTGAGGCGATTATATCATTTGCTTCAACACTCTTAAATATGCAAATTTGTAGAGACGATTATGTGAGCTAATTTTTACATTCGTATCTTTAAATCTAGGCCGATTAAATGAATATCTAACAGAAGAACCAAATTTGAAACAAAATCAATAGTCAATGCCCAATTCAGAAGTGACCATTCCTGAATTAACTCATAGAGAAATATGTGTGGCACACATGTGCAAAATGTATGTTTGAAGAAAACAAGGAAAAAAAAAACAATTGAGAGAAGAGTATAGACTATAATAATACCTTTGAATATAAACATAGTTTTATTCTCAGACTTTTGTTCTGAAGCTTTATTTCCAGAATCAGCATAAGAAACCAAAGAATCTTTCCCAGAAAATGCATAATAACAAAGCCCTGCACTTGAGCTAGCTGCAACAATGGGGAGAAGCGATCTCAACACTGATTCAAGAACCATGCCACCCCTTTTCTTCTCATGGTTGAATCTCCGGCCACCGGAGCCGCCGCCACCACCGCCGGATTCCGTCGAAATGGCTCTTGAATATGCCAAGATTAAACGAAGATTGGGATGGTTTTTCCTCAGAAACTGCCCAAATGAATGATGCATAGTAAAAAAACAAAAACGAGGATTACTGTGTTAAGGTATTGTTGTGTCTTTTTTGTGTGTTTAATGTTGTGACGATGAAAGAAAGGGTTGTAATCCATATGGAAGGAGGAAGATAAGGTCCTGATGAATTTGACCGAGAAAATTGGTGGGGAAGTTATGATTCAGTTTTTTTTGTTCTTAACGGTCGTACGAGGTAGTTGGACTTGAGCTGTTCTTACAATTTACAAATAATAGGGAAAATGGTCAAATAGGCCCTCAAATTTTAGTTTAAAAGTCAATTAGGCCCCTAAACTTTTTAAAGGTGCAGTTACACCTATCAACAATTTATTTAGGTGCAATGAAGCCCAAAAACAAGTTAATGACCTGCTATCACAGGTCATTAGGATTCATGCCACCTTCCGGCGAATTTTCTGGCAAAAAAAAGTGACCAGCAACCGACCCAGATTTGCCGAAAATTTCGCCGGTCACTTTTTTGTCAGAAATTTCGCTGGTCACTTTTTTTTTTTTTTTTTACCGGAAAATTCGCCGGAAGGTGGCCTGAACCCTAATGACCTGTGATAGCAGGTCATTAATTTGTTTTTGGGCTTCATTGCACTTAAATGAATTGTTGAGGGGTGTAATTGCACCTTTAAAAAGTTTAAGGGGCTAATTGACTTTTAAGTTAAAGTTCGAGGGCCTATTTGACCCTTTTCCCCCAAATAATATAATATCATGATTTTCAGATCATATTAAACTAAACAGTATACATACCGCTTTAAAAAAAACAGTATACATACCAAAATACAAAATAGGGAAAATGACACTTTTTCCCCCTATGTTATATACTTATAGCATTTTTTCCCCCTCAATTATTTAAGTGGCTCTTTTTCTCCCTGAAATGTTAAATGGACATATTTACCCTTAAAATAAATATTTCATTTATTTTTATTCTCCAATAAATTATTACTATAATTTGGTTCAAACCAGATACTATAGTAACCAAACCAAAATATTCCAATTACAATTTATAATCAAAACGCGATATTTAGAGTTTATTAAAATCGCGAACTGGAATGGCCGGTTCATGTTCCGAACTGAAAAAATAAAATACATTTATTGTTGAATTTAAACTATTTTAAAATAAAAAATAAAATTTTAAAATATAGACAGTTCAAAATCGCGAACGGGATCCGGAACCGCCGGTTCATGATCCAATTTTTTTTTTTTTTTATTCTTAAATTTAATAAATTGAAATCCAAATATTGAGTTCTAGATCTGAATCATAACTGAAAACTTTTAATTCGATTGCTATAGTGTCTGGTTCAGTTCGAACCGAACCGTGGTAATAGCTACATATACGCAATAATTTGTTGGAGAAGTAAAATAAATAAAATGTTTACTTTAAGGGTAGAAATGTCAATTTAATATATTAGGGGGGAAAACCACCACTTTTAAAATAATTGAGGGGGCTAATGTGCTTACATAAATAATTGAGGGGGAAAAAGTGCTATAAGTATATAACATAGGGGGAAAAAGTGCCATTTTCCCTACAAAATATATAATATGATAAAGAGTTAATATATTATGACATAATTTTAATTTCATCATCAACTATTAATTCATCCAAAATGATCGTTTGACTATTTAAAATTTACTTGGTTTAATTTAGTCCTTAGGATGACTAAAATGAGTAAATTTTACCTAATCGATAGGCATTGTAATTTGATAGCGATTGTGGTAAATACAGTAATTTCTACGAATACATACGAGTATTGAAGTTGGACCGGATTCGAGTCCTTTCCTGTTTGTTGGTTTAAGTCTTGAGCTCAAGAATGACGCGAGGTTAGAGGATCCCGAGCTATATAGCAATCGGTAGAAAATGTCCAAAAGTCCTCCCTCCTCGCATTTAATGCGGTATTTATAGGAGGTGCGAGGGGCACATGTCAGTCTCTCGGCATGTGTGGCACATGTAACGCATACACAAGGGAAGGTTAGAGGCCTTGCTGGTCCTTCCACGTGCCTTGAGATTCCCGACTCTCTCGGTCCCACCACTATTTAATTTGGCTGAAGGAACTAAGCTTAAGGCTCTAAGTATCACAGGTCGGATGGTCGGTCCCGACTTGATATAGTTGGGGTGAAATAATGAGAACCAGGCTCTACTGGGGAGTGAAACTATGTTCGGTCTGCGATCTAGGTCAGTCATGCTCGGATACGGCTCTACTCAGCGAGCAGCCTTGGTATTGATCATGCACATGATAAGGTGTAGTTGGGATAATCCCTATCACCACACAACTGGCCCAAGAGATATAAATCACACTAAGAAGACTCATGTGATAAGCTCAAACAAAAGAGTGTTGACAAGAACCAAACTCGTGACCTTATATACAAAAATTATACTTTACCCACCCCTTTACTGGCACCGGGCACCATTACTGTTTTTGAATTATAATATCATGCGCTGTGAAACAGATATTTTCCAAGAACTACAATGCTTCAGTAACAAAAATTTAATATTTCTTTTTACCAAAGACCTAGTGGTTGGTAAAAACCTAGTGGTCAAGCTGTGTCACGAACATACATCCAACTATCTTAGATTTCTCCTTTTCCTCTGCATTTCTTCAACTTTTAGACAAACTTCTCTGCTATAAATGTGAGCCTCATTTTCAGTCAATGTAACAGCAGAGAGGCCATAAAATTGATAAAATGCCATAAATTATGAGCTCCACTTGAGTAATAATTACAATACTAATACTAATAATCATAATAACAATAAAGCCGCTAAAAGCCCAGTGGTTTTAAGCAGATACATCAGTAAGGGCAGAAGTAGAAAATCCTGTGCCCTAATAGCTACATATATTAAGTTCTTGATGCTCAAACTGTCAAAACAACATACTTTTTACTCCATAGAGACTAAAAGAGGGAGCAATGGGATCTAAGAAACAAAAAGCAAAAGATCCCAGAAGTGGTAGTTGTTACAGTAATGTTAGTGGTTTGAGCTTTGGGGCAGGCGGAAAGAGCCCCCGGCATAAAGCATCTGGTAAACCGGCTTTAATCTCACAGTTAGAACTACGCTAAGCAAGGCGCCAGCAGAACAAAGTCCAGCGAGAACTAGGAATGTTACCCGAAAGCAGTTAGGACCGATGCAGGTATCGCTATGCTGCTTTGCAGCCTCGATATCATATAAATATCCAGCAAGAAGACCCGAGAAGAGATAGGCACCGAGAGGGTTCCCTATTCCCATGAAGCTGAGAATTAGCCCGAAGTGCTTCAAGCCAAAAAGCTCGGAGGTAGTAGGGATCAGTATGGAGAACTGAACGCCATAGCAGATCCCGAGTAGCGCTGTGGCCACATAGAGGGTCCCGTTAAGAGCAGAAGCAAATAGGAAGTATGTAATTATCATCACTACTTGCGTGAACGTCATCCAAATCGTTCTTGGAAGAGCTTTTAACCTGCAAGGAAAGGAGAATTCCATGTTGAATTATCCGATAAAATAGTGACATCAAGCAGAAAATGAAGATTCCGTTTTGTTTCGTTTGGTCATACAGGTTGTTACTCCTCCTCAAGTGGACAACCAAGCCGTTGTCACCCGAACAAGCGGGTTGGATCGAACATGCTCTGATATCATGTTATAAACTAAGATTCGGCTAGAGTCACTGCTATAATGCACATGGGGCAAACCACACTAAAAGATTGAATCCAACCAATTAGCTAATCTAACCGAAACCCATATGTTCTCTCTTATTTTATCAATGTGGGACTCTTAACACAGGTCAAAATGAAGACAAAACCCATCTAAGTATCCATAGAATCAATGACAAGATTATAGGACAAGTACTACAGACCTGACAAAATGTTCAGAAACAATCCCGCCACCAAGACGACCCACGAAATTGCAGAAGCTGAAGAGAGACAACAAGATTGTCGTGTCGTTAACACCTTGTGCAATTCCAACCTGTGCAAGGTTATTGAGGACTGTAACCCCCGAGCCTACGCCAAAAAAATAGACTAGAAACAAACACCAGAAATCGGCCTTGACCACAGCTTCTTTAAACTTAAAATCTTCGCCTCTTCTCGGTCTCCTCTTTTTCTTTATGGCTCCTTCACCCTCAGCAAGAAGCATATCCACCTCAGACATGTCTTCGTTTTCATGAAAGCTTCCCAGGTTTGCTGACGATGATGACGCAACCAACAGAGGCTCCGTACTCCCATCATTACCCTTATCTTGATCGGTTATCGCCACAGTTTCCTCAGACTGATTGACGGTGGATGATTTGCTAAGAATCGAGGGATAGAAAGTCATTTTTACGGGAATGGCAAGTGGAGCCAATAGAAGAAGTATCATGATAACGAGGATAATATAAGAAACCGGAACACCCAGAGAAAATACATCTTCCAAGATCGTGGTCGAAAGAACATAGACACCAAGCACAGCACTAGCTAATTGAATGAACAAAAAGTGGGAATGCTCCGAAGGATCGTCACCCGAAGCGGGAGTGCAAGGCCTAACAAAGTACATCATAACGAAACACGTAATGGGAACACCGATAGCTAGGAACATCAAGAGGTTAGCAGAAGAGTTTTTAAGCAATACACCATAAACTTCAGTAAACACCGCAGCACTAAGTCCTCCGTAACCTTTAAGAATACCAGCAACAGTGCCCCGATTGAGAGGGAAGTTTCTCATGTTAGTCACAAGCACGGCAGTGCTGATCCAAGCACTGCTGTTCGTGCCCACAATAAGCGCAATCCATAACTGCAAGTAGTCAACATGTAGATATTTCTCAGTTCAAAGAGAATCGAAAAATCTTGTGAGCCAAGCATTAAATACGTCAAATCTAACTCTTTAAATCGGAATCTAGACAGAAATGGATGTAGCAGAGATTTAGTATGATTAGTAAGCTTGATAACTTGGTCCAAGTAAAATATACTTTTGAACTATTGTGTATGTCTCATATATACTAGAGGATTATAGGTGTTGGATGGAACAGAGTGGAGTGGAGTCCTACACCTATCATCCTCCAGTACATATGAGACATACAAATGTTACTTTTTTTCTTTTTTGTTGCGTAACACGCAGTTGGTCGGGGCAGTACAATACAGGGGTAATTTAGTACATGTACCTTTTAGGGTTACATATGTTTGTAATCCTGGATATTCTACCGTCACAAGAACAGTTTCACTCTGTTGACGTAGGCACATAAGCACATTGCCAAACCACGTAAATCTTGTCTTCTTTACTTTCTGTCATTGTTTTCCATTTTTGTTTTGTTTATCTCAACATGAACCATACAGTACTATTTTGGGAAATCAAAGCCCCAAGCATTTAAGTTCATAAAATTAAGTATGAAACCTAACTTTCCTAAAAAAAAAAAAGTAAGAAACCTAACTTCCATGACCTCTGAACAACTGCAGGACTAATAAAAGGCAAAGAATTGACTCCTCAACAACACTGTACAGCACCAATTTATGTTCTTACAGAACAATATTACCAAACAGTGACCCCAAAATGCAAAAGAACCAAACATCAATGCACTAAAGATTAGATATTTTTAAAACAGAAACCAAAAACCAAAACTATATTCTACATCTTCCCAGTTTACATATCCTATATTTTTGTTCATTGATGTGCATGCATCTGGTAAATATCGCCTTGTGACCTTCAAAGAACCACAAGAAGGTAAATGAGCCTAAGTTGTCCATAACTAACCAGTTCAAGGCCAATGGCTGCTCGAGTCGAACTTGTAATATTGTGGTTACCAAATCAACAGAACAACAAAACAACTTGGCTTTACCCCCAACAAGTAATATTTTGGATGTAGTTTCTTAATATGATTTTTTTTTTTCAAATATTGAATTTATAATATAAATACCAAAATTGGAGCTAGCATAAACACATCAAAGGACACTAGAGTAGAATTTTAATCAATCTCAGGGAATATTTGAAGAAAGATTAGAACTTTACCAGCCAATAAGGCAAATTGAGAACAGTTCCACTAACAGAAAGCCAGAGAGTTCCATAGCCAAGAAAACAAGCAAAAGCACCAATGAGGAGGACAACCCAAGGTGGGAACTTGTTGCAGACAAGGCCAGGAAGGAGGCCAACGTTCTCCCCAATATCATTGGCCACCCCAAGCATGGTGAGCTGCTGCTGACTGAAACCCAGAACTGATTTCAGAGTGTGGGAATAGAGTGGGAAATTGTAAGCATTTCCTGCTGCTATTTGCATCCAAACTGAGGCCCCAAGACCCACCCATGGTGGCCTTGTCCCTCCCTTCAAGTTCACCATTCTTGAGACCCTTTGTTTAGCTCTCAAGAATCAGGGGATAGCAGAGGAAAGAGTGGGTTTTGATCTGATTTGGTTTTGCAGGGAGGGGGGAAGAATTGAGGAAAGGAGTGTGAAAGTGAGAGATTGTGTCACTTTTGTGGAAGTTAAGGGGTTCTTAAATAAAGTGGTGTGGTGAATTACGCAAAACAATGCGGTTTGATTGCAAATTTTTGTCCTTTTGGGAAAAAAAAAAAAATTCTTTATGGTGCTTTTGGACTTTTGAAGCTTTGCAGAATTGCAGGCCTTGTTGACGCGTCACCATCCTCAAATCTTGAAGCTCATTTGTTTGAATTTTTCAAGGACATTTAGTTCATAAAAAGGTGAAAATAACACTTTTTTTTTTCTCATGTTTATGTTTATAGCATTTTTCTTTTAAATTATTCATTAATCTATATTAGTTGATCAATTATTTTATAAGTAATAATTTTACCCCTTTTCAGTTAAATTAATATTTTTACCCTTAAATATAAGTATTTCATTTATTTTTCTTCTCCAACAAATTATTATTTATATATTATAATTAGAATAAATGCAAAAAATAAAAGGAATATAAAACCTTTAACAAATATAATAATTATAATGTTAAACTAATGCTAAAATTATAATTATAATATTTACAAATGATGTCTACTCTTTTTCGCATTTATTCTTATTAACACATATAAGCAATAATTTATTAGAGGCAAATAAACAAAATACATATTTTACACTTATTTTTATAGAGTAAAAATTTCCATATCCATTTAACAAAAAAAGAGGGGGGGGGGGGGGGGGGGGGGGTGATTGTCACTTTAAAAATAATTGAGGGGCTCACGTGGATACATGGATAATTCATGGAGGAAAATTGTTATAAAAATATAATTCATGAAGGAAATTATTAGGAATATTGATTTCATTGTTTGGTTGGGAGAAAAGAAATTATTGAGAATATTGATTCTATATTTGGTTGAGTTTAGAATTATAAGGAATAATAAGTATAAAGACCAATATAGGGATGTCAACGGGGCGGGGTGGGGGCGGGCACATACCCCACATCCCCGCCCCCGACTTTTTTCCCATTCCCCGTCCCCGTCCCCATCCCCGCCGGGGAATGGAAAACTCTCCCCATCCCCACCCCATTAATAAGTTATAAAAAAAATTAAACATTCATAAACATTTAAATAAATAACGTATATATATTCATCCCCAATTTAAAATAGTATTCAATATTTTACAATTAAACATGTTATTTAAATATGCATTTCATAAGCATGACAAACAATGACAAGAATGCTTCTAAAATTATATATATTGTATACAAAGTAATACATATGTGTGTGTACTCCCCATACATACATACATACATACATCGGGGACGGGGCGGGGCGGGGAGAGTACTCCCCATCCCCGTCCTCGTCCCCGGGGGGAATTCAAAATTGCCCCCATCCCCATCCCCGATCCCCTATTTCTATCCCCATCCCCGTCCCCATAGGGTCGGGTAATCGGGTTCCCCGTCGGGTGCGGGTACAATTGACATCCCTAGACCAATATGCCCCTACAAAATAATAATGATAATAAAAGTAATAGTGATTTCTAAATTAAAATATTATAATTATATATTTAATTATAATAATATAATAAAAATCATTATACATATTTGGTTTAAAGGTAATTAAGAAAGTTCTATGCGGCAAAATTATCAAGTGATAAATTGTTTTTGTTGGTCCCAAAAGAGATAACGTAAAAGTCTAGAGGGGGGGGGGGGTGGGTGGATGAATGAATAGACTTTTAAACTTTTTGCACAGCTCAACAATTGCTAAGGCAACAGAGAAACCAAAACTCTTAACTAGATTGTTAGAGCCTGGTGCACAGCGGAGATAATAAACGATACAGTGTGTGTGTATTTGTGTCAAGTTTATCCTCGTGAGAAGCAAGCAAGAACAGTAAGTAAAGAAAGCAGTAAAGAACACAAGGCAATTTATAGTGGTTCGGAGGTGGTGTAATCCTCCTACTCCACTTGCTCTTATCTCCAAGAGCAATTCACTATATCCACCACTACTTGGTCTACAATGAATTCCGTGATCTAGTGCTTTGATCACCAAGCCTGCACTAATCACGCCCAGTGCCACCAACACCGCTGCTTCGGGTTTCACGTCGCCGCGCTACTTTTCCAGGATTTCACGACTCCGTGTTACTTTTCCCCTCGTCTTCTACGCTCCGGTAGAAACACTCATTCCGTGATCTAGTGCTTTGATCACAAAGCCCGCACTAATCACGCCCAGTGCCTCCGACATTGCTGCTTCGAATCTCACAACTCTGTGTGACAATCCAGGATTTCACAACTCCATGCTACTTTCCCGCGACTTCTACGTTCCGGTAGAACTTCTACTTGTTTTGCTCCAAAACAAGTTTGCCTTGCTTCCAACTTGAGACTTCTGTAGATGATCTTCAATGATGCGCTTAGTCTCTTGTTGTTGATAAAGATTCTAACACTCTTGGATATTTCTTTGTAAGCTCTGTATCACTATGAGTGTTTATCTCACTAAGAATATATCAATTTAAGCTCTTGAGATGGAAAGCTCTTTTGATTTTCGTATGCTCTGTTTAGCTCTGCTCTTTGTGTTCTTGCTTCTGCTTTCCACAGCTACAATCTTCATCATTTTATAGCTGGTAATGAGAATCTGTCCGTTGGAAAGAAATGTTCTCAGTTTTGAATTTCTTCTAGCTTGTGTAGCCTTTTCAGATGATAAGATAACGTTGCAGATATGTCAGAGATTCTCTGCAAGTTGAGCTTCAAATCCACGCAAAAATGGCGTCCCAAAAACTTCATTTGGTGTAGATCACGCCTTTTGGGATTCTCTGCAAGTTTCTCATGAGATCAGCCTAATGTAATTCTCAAACAGATATATAAACAAATATATCAAATAAATTATTTGAGCACAAGTATCAAATTAAAATCATGAGATTAAGTCCAGTGGTGATACTTAGCTCATTTCAAGCATTCTCAATTCGTGCCTTAAGGTAGAAAATCTCGTTTCGCATAAAGGCTTTGGGAGAATGTCTGCAACTTGGTTATCCGTAGGGATATACTCGATTTTTAGATCTTTCATTTCAACATGATTCCTTATGAAATGATGTTGTATGTCGATATGTTTGGTTCTTGATTGAAGCACCGGATTGTGAGTCATAGCAATTGCACTTGTATTGTCACAATATATGCTAACGTTGTCGCAATTCACTCCATAATCCTTCAATTGTTGCTTCATCCACAAAATTTGTGCACAACAACTTCCTGCAGCAATATATTCGGCCTCAGCGGTACTAGTTGCGATGGAATTTTGCTTTTTGCTGGACCAAGAAACAAGCCTTCCCCCCAAGAATTGGCATGTCCCGGAGGTGTTTTTTCTATCTATTTTGCAACATGCAAAATCCGCATCTGAAAAACCTGTTAGAGTAAAATTTGTACCTTTAGGATACCACAATCCTACATTGATTGTGCCCTTCAAGTATCTTATGATCTTCTTTGTTGCGGTGAGGTGGCTTTCTTTTGGATTTACTTGGAATCTTGCACACACTCCCACATCATAAGAAATATTTGGCCGTCTTGTAGTGAGGTATAAAAGAGAACCAATCATTCCTCTATATTTCATTTGATCAACATCTTTTCGATCTTTGTCCTTGTCTAGCCTCAATGATGTACTCATTGGAGTTTTGATCGATGATTTTCCATCAAGGCCAAACTTCTTTATCAAGTCGCGGGTGTACTTTGTTGGATTGATGAATATTCCTTCTTTCAATTGTTTGATTTGTAAGCCCAAGAAATAATTCAATTCACCCATCATGCTCATTTCGAATTTATTCTGCATAAGCTTTGAAAATTTATCACACAAAGAATTGTTAGTGCTTCCAAAAATAATATCATCAACATAGATTTGCACTAATAAAATATGATCACCATCTTGAATTCTAAAGAGAGTTTTGTCAACAAGGCCTTTGGTGAATCCACAGCTTATCAAGAACATTGACAATGTATCGTACCAAGCTCTAGGTGCTTGTTTCAACCCATACAATGCCTTTTTAAGTTTGTAGACTTTGTCACCTTCGCCTTTTTACCTCAAAACCTGGGGGTTGTTCGACATAAACTTCTTCTTCGAGTACTCCATTCAAGAATGCGCTTTTCACGTCCATTTGATAAACAGTGAAATCTTTGTGTGTGGCGTAGGCTAGGAAAATCCTTATAGCTTCGAGTCTGGCTACCGGTACAAAAGTTTCATCAAAATCTATTCCTTCTTCTTGAGAGTATCCTTTTGCAACGAGCCTTGCTTTATTCCTAACAACCACGCCTTCTTTGTTTGCTTTGTTCCGGAAGACCCATTTAGTTCCTACAACATTGTAGTTCGTTGGTCTTGGAACAAGTTCCCAAATGTCATTCCGCTTGAATTGATCGAGTTCCTCTTGCATGATGTCTATCCAACTTGGATCATTTAGAGCTTCGTCCACTTCTTTTGGTTCAATCTGAGATAGATAACATGTGAACAATGCTTCCATGGTAGATAATCTTGTTTTCACGCCATCTCGAACAGTTTCAATCACTAATTCTGGTGGGTGATTTTTGAGCCATCTTAAGTCTGGTTCAAATGGGTGCATGGTACTGGGTGGATCTATTGGTTGAGAACTGGTAGCACTGGTTCGAATTTCTCCTTGCAATTGATTTCCCACTTCTCCAGTAATTGCATCCAAGGACTGATTTGCAATTTCCACTTCAACTGCATCCCTGGGTTGATTTGCAATTTCAATACCAACTGCATCCCTAACTTCATTTCTTACTGGATGACAGATGGGATTTTCTAGAAAATTAATTTCCAACTCATCCATTCCTTGCAAAATATTATCTTCACACGTATCATCAATATCACAAAAATCAATATGACACTTGTTACCATTTTGTTCAATATTTTCGCCATTTTCGTCCAGAGCATCAATATTGACATGTGACTTTTCATCAAATACCACGTGTATGGATTCTTCAACCACCATTGTTCTTTTGTTCAAAACTCTGAATGCTTTGCTGGTAGTCGAATATCCTAGAAATATTCCTTCATTTACACGCTCATCAAAAACTTTTAGATGCAATTTATCATTAATATGAATAAAGCACTTGCAT